TCTCCCCATGTTAATGAATCACCATCAAACACCAAATTATATTGTATTCCTCTCTCAGCCAATCAAATTCATCTTCATCTTCCAAACRAAGTTGGGAATTTGATGTGCTAGGTCTTCTGGAATTGGTTGCCTTGGGCCACTTGGCTCATAACTGTGAAGTTGAGCTTGAGCCTCTRGATCTTGTATATCTTAGTGGCTCTTCAACTCCAGAAGCACGAGCAACATCTCCCCATGTTAATGAATCACCATCAAACACCAAATTATCTTCAGCCCCATCCATCTCTCCCTATAACCACTCATTATTCTCATCAATATCTTTTAGAGAGATGGGATCAATGTAACTGCGTGAATCAAAATGCTCTTTCAGCATCTGGTTGAACTTAATAAACACTAAATCATTTAATCACTTTTGGTCCAAGCGATTCCTCTTTTTAGTATGAATCTGTGAATTCATAAAATAGCATTGAATTGCTAAAAAAATTTAAATTTAAATGTAAAATATAAATATAAGATAAATTATAACATAAATTTATTAAAGACATACATGCTCAAACACACTCTAGTTCCGCTCGCAACCAGATGCACTGCATGTTAAACTAAAAATTTTGATAGCAATTTTTTGTAGATTTGGAGCTGAAGCACCAAATGCTGTCCACCAATCAATCAGCTGAAAAATATAAATATTAACTAAATTAGCAAATTGACTAAATAAAAATAGCAATTATTAAAATAACTAAACACAAATGTTAATTAACTTTATATGAATATTTACCCAATGCTTTTAACACAGCAGATGAATCTCAGTATACAATGGGTGGGAAGGGAGGCAAATGCATTGGTTGATGCTTTAGCAAAGCAAGGGGTAATTAGGGATCAGTTGTATTGGGCGCAATTGTAATTACAATGCTAGCTCTAATTTAATAGTGAAGCTACATCTCGTGCCTCCCTTTGGGATGCTTGTAACAATGCCTATCATTTTTTTCTCAACGAAATTTAATGATCTTTTACTTGGTAAGTGAGATGTGGTGGGAGTTATACGGAATTAATGGTTTATAGGATGACCCTTGGTGTTTGGCAGGTCTGCTAATGCTATTGGCAGATTATCTTGCTAAGCAAGGGGTTATAAGGGAACATTTGTACTGAGCTACCTTGTAATCTTTATCTATAGTGCTTTGTGGTTTTCACATTTTTAAGGGAGGTCACACCTTGTGCCTCTCAGTGGAATGCTTGTAACAGTTCTCGTGTTTTCTTAATAAATTCCTCTTTCAATTATTAAAAAAGCAGTTGAATTTGAGGCACTTGTGAAGTATATAGGAATGGTAAGGGTGAAGTTGTGGCTTGTTTTGGGCTCAATTGTAATTTTTTCTGCTTTGTTTGCTTCTTGTTGGAGGAGATAAGAGAGGTTATCTCCTCCCTTTGTATCCTTAATTTTCTTCAATGAAATCTTCTGTTAGTGATAAAAAAAAAGATGGTGAAGTTTTGGCTTTGTTCTCAGGACCTATAGGTCAAGGAGACTCACTAAAGGCTGAACTCGTGGCTTTAACACCAGGGTCTGATGCTGGAAAAGACACCTTTTCTTTTCTTTTTTCTTTTTTGATTAGTAACAGGCTTTTATTACTTTAAAAAGTATTTACAAGAGTAATGTTCAAGGAGTACATCATATATTTTAACGTAGAGATGTACCATCACCCCTACTTCTGAGGTCCTGATAATTATTACCCCTAATCCATTGCCCAAAGTTATACAAATTTCACTGAAAAATAGATACCCAGAAAAATTGACTTTGTTGGAGTCCTCATCAGCTAGGCTGTTAGCAGACTTCTTTATCCAATTGAAATTATTCGTCACTTCTCTTATCAATAGCTGTATCTCTCTCAAAGTGTTCCCTATACTTCCAAAGCCCTTCTTTGCTTCCTTTTAGTCATCCCACTTCCAATTTGGTATCACCCTCAACCATCAAGTCGTCAAAATTTTGTGTTTTAGCCATTTTGATCCCTTGAAGGACTGCTCATAGTTCCGCTCTAGTACAGTCCCCATACTGCACTCTATTCTCTAAATACCCCTTGAAGGACTCCTATAGGTCCCAAGTATAAGCATTGAATATACCCCTGACTATCTCTAAATACACTCTATTCTAGACTTTCCCAGGTTGCCCATACTGCACCCCTCTACGTTCATTTTAATCATGCCTTGTTCTGGTTGGTCCAACTCATGACTACTTTGTTTCTTATCAGGGGGGCTTGAGCCACCACTTGCCAACTTCTTATAATTTCATTATTTTTATTAATATGCAAAATTTGGCAAAGTCTTAATCCAATGGGCAACTTGCACAGGAATATTCTCTGATTGCTTCCTTTGTGCGAGATTCGTCTCGGAAAACTCTTGCATTTCTTGTTCAAATTACAGCTGATCTAGAGTATGTCACAAAACTTTCCTCTTACCTTTGTTGGGGAGAAAAAAGTATATTTGAAAAGATCTCTTGGAGAAAAAATGGGTTCCATTTGCATTCAAATTCCAAAATAGTGAAAAGAAAAATCCCAAATATCTGACACAAAAGAACATGAGATTAGTAAATAGAAAGAATATTCACCACAAGGTACGAAGGAAGCACGTATTGGGATTTGGGAGATAAAAACCAGGTTGGCCTCTTCTTCGGCAGAACATCAAAAGATGATTGTGAAAGGTGGTTCAGAAGTTGTAAGCAAGGCTTAAAATTTCGATTTGATACGCCCGATACGGGGCGTATTGTATCGTATCTTTGAAAAATAGATGCAGGATACACATGAAAAATGAGCGTCTCGTCTTCTTTTTTAATGTGTCTCATCTTTTTCCCTGAAATAAGCCTTCTTTCACCCCCAAATGACTCTAAAACTCCAAACCTATTCCTAGAGTGCTAGATTTGCAAAAATTTGCAAGAAACAAGTGTGAATCGTTAATTTTTTTGAAGATTTTTCAAATTTTGAAAAAATATGGCAAAAGTAGGTAAATTTTTTCAATTTTTTATAATATCTTGTGATTTTTTTTTCTTGAATGTTTAAATTTATGTTGATCTACATTTCTTACATTCAAAATCACAATTTTTTGTGTTATCAGTAGATTTATGGAAATTTCATGAAGATATTTGGGGAAAATATAAATTAACAAAAATTTGAAAATGTAATTTTTTTCTATGCCTATAAAGACTAAATATGTTTTAGATCTATGGATTTATCTATCATATCCATAGAGCAATTGAAATTTCTTCTTTAATATTTTTTTGATTTTTTTATATTTTTAGAATTAAAAAATAAATATAATTAATTATATTTTATCATTTGATCACAACAATTGAATATATTATAATCCTATGGATGATCTATCATATCCACAGGCCAATTGAAATTTCTTCTTTAATAATTATTTTTTATTTTTATATTTTTAGAATTAAAAAATAAATAATTAATTAATTATACTTTATTATTTGATCACAATGATTGAATATATTATAATTCTATGGATGATCTATCATATCCATAAAGCAATTGAAATTTCTTCTTTAATAATTATTTTTTTATTATATTGTTTATTTATTTTTTATAATTTTTGGAAATAAATAATAAATAATAATTATTTAAATAATAAATAATTATTAATTATATTTTCACTTGGAAGTTGCGCCAATGCATGTTTTATGGTTGGATAGGAGAGTTGGGTTTTTCCCATCCCATAAAACATTAAAACTTAAGAATTATAATTTATAAATTGTAGTTAAGCTTTAATGAAATTATAATTAACTACAATATATTTCTTCATAAAACCATTAAAATATATTAATTTAATGTATATACACCTCATTGAGGTTTTATATTTAGTGTTATTGATGTATTTTTATGATTTACTAAAGTAATTATTAGTGTTTCCAAGCGTATCTTAGTTTTTCTTTGATACACGTGTATCCAAGGCGTATCCCGATACATCTCTTAAAATTGTCTTTGTGATACTTTGAACCTTGGTTGTAGTGCAACTTGGTCAGGCTCAAGTTGGGGTTTTGTCAAAATTTGAATGGGCCCGGATGGAAAACCCAGCCTAATGCAACGTAAAATCTCAAGATCGGGTACCCGACTTGCACCTTTAGTTGTAAGATGTCTGTTAAATAACAACCCAGGACTTTGGCAATGTCAACATGTTTCTAGAGAAATAAGGAAGCTGGCACATGACCTAAGGGCCCAATTTCTATGGACAAAGGAGGCAAATTGCTTGGCTGATGCTCTAGCAAAACAGAGTTAATAGGGAGAACTTGCATTGGGGAATTACAAGTGAGGATTTAGTGGATATGAGATAGGTAGATGATATAAATGTAAGGAGTTTTTGGGATGCTTTGGAAAATCTTCTTGTAAACCAGTTTCTTATTTAATTGACAAGTATCAAGTTACCAATAAAAAAGTTCTAGAAGGTTGCTGTATTAATTAACATGATCTGGCTAAAAAACAAAATGGAAGGGACGTGGCATTACAGGAACATCATAAGAGAGGTCAGAGTTAGTGCCACAAGATCTGTAATCCACTTTTTCGTGGGTCCATAATTCAGCAAATGGCTTTGCTGATGCATTGGCAAAGGATGGGGTTAATAAGGCTCAGTTCTGGGATTTTTTTTTAATCAGCTTGTTCTGGGAAATTTCTTGAACTGTATGTAAGAAGTTAAAGCCTGGACTGTGTGATTAGTGTCAGCCTAGAAGGGGCCATCATTTAACAGTTATACATCTTCTCTTTATTTATTTATATCTAATAAAGTTTTAATAGTTACCAGTCAGAAAACAAAAAAGTAATCAGTGTATCATCTTCTGTAATTTTGGGAGTATGTTCTCTTTTCTATGTTCTCAGTATTATCAATTGTGTTATATTACATGTGAAATTGGTAGTGCAAAATAAATAAATAAACTAGCAAGACATTTGTTTTTTGAATCTGATGAATGGAGGGATTTGATTATTGTATTTCCAACAGACTTTTGGTTCCTATTGCAGTCTAAATATATTCAAGTACTGATGGAGAAAGCTAAAGAACGTGAAAGAGAGCATGAGATAATTTATGAGAGAAAACTTGTTAAAGAGAGAAGCAAAGACGATCACCTATATTCAGACAAGGATAAATTTGTTACAAGTGCATACAAGAGAAAACTTGCGGAACAAGCTAAATGGTTGGAGGAAGAACGGTTGCGTGAACTTCGCGAGGAAAAAGAGGATGTATGCATCTCTTTCCCCCTTATCCTTTTAGACATGATATAAAAGCTGTGGTTCTGCTACTTAAACTTAACATGCTTGTATAAGTGCAAAAAACAGTCACGGCTCTTTTATAACCCAAGAATTTTCTTGCATTATGGTTGGGGTGCCAAAATGTAATGTTAATAAGCCTTCTAATAATTGATATTATTTGTGGAAATAAATTTATTTTTTTTTGGAAAGGTAAAGTAATTTTATTCAACTCAAAAACATACAAGCTGGGATCAGACCCCGAAGGGCAGTCTGAATACCACAGCAATTACATTTTCCTCCAGAATTCAGAACAATAAAAAGAAGACAAATTCAGACTTTTAAATTCTTCAGATACAGATATCCAAATGGACCATAAAACAGCGGCTGAATAGTCCTCCACACCAGGTTCCCTTTCTTACTAAGGCCTCCCACCTTCCAACAATCGAGGAGATCCTTAACCGATCTAGGCATTACCCAACTAAATTCCAAGAAATAAATTTATTGGTTATTAGAGATTGTTGTTTATAAGTAATTGTCATAAAATTTTCATTTACGGTATTTTTTCTTGGCATCATGTTCTCCTTTACAAATTTTGCCGGTTTATATTTATCACATTAGCCTTGAAAAGGTTAACTTGTAAAAATGTTAGTTTTTCTTTCAGCATTAATCTTTATTCATATTAACAGAAATAGATTTCTTTCCCCTTCCATTGTATTTAACATTGAGTACAAAGTGGAAGATACAGAGGATAGCAAAGAGAGAGGACCTAAATTTGGGTTTTGGCTTGTTCAAATACAATAAGAACTGCAAGTTATTAAAAAGGACCAAGAACATACTTAGGTTGATGTCTCGATGATGGCCAGAGCTACCTTGAGTGAAGAGCGAGGGATAGGAATATGAGACACTGGTTTTGGTGGGGTTTGGGATGTAGAAAGACTTATGGTTTCTTTCTTCTTTCTCTTGAACAGGGAATGCAAATTGTGTAAGATATACCTCTCACTTTTTATTCGTTTATAGTGTCAAAGTTTAAGAAATAAAACTTAAAAATGTTACTTTATATAAAGAATGAGCAATTGATTTCCCATAGATGTCCTTTACACTTCAACTATTTAAGCACTATATATATGAATCTAATACATTTTATTACAAATTACCTTATAAAAAGAAAATGTGCTATATATGAATAAACCATTTAGGTTATATACATGTAGTCTATATAAAATGTATTCTAATATCTAATAACATACCATGAATTTCCTAAAAGATTATTGGGAGTCTACCCCTCCCAATACCCCAGATGGCTGGGAGACAAGGACCAACATTGGGTAAAGGCCTTTTAGATATTAGAAAAATATTACTTATGAACCACTGAACTAAATTGTTTCTCCAGAATTTTATTAGATTATAGAAATTATTTATAAAATAATTTATTATAAGGGGGCTATTGTAAGGGGTTATTTTGGTTACTTTAGTGCTCTTGGGCAGTTTTGCATGGATATGGACACAGGAGTCAGAAAGTGATGTCTACGAGACTAGACAAGATGGAAAAACATGGTCTCATGGATGTATCTAACTGGAAAGGCATATACTATGATAATGGTTCATATATTTTTAATTCTAACATTTAATACCTGCAAAAATGGTCTAAAATGTTGCCTTTGTTTTGTCAATTTAGCATTCATATTTGTACACTAGCTGTTCATTTATATCAATATAGCAAAGATATAATAATGAAATGTTACATAGAAGTGTCTTCAAGAACATTGTAGAGCATTGAACTCCAACGACTTGTGACATGTGTTCAACACAAACATGTCATCCATTTCGGAGAGTCTATGCAACAATGCTCTTAGGCTGAAAAATCGTACTATAAATTGTATGTGGGAACCAATCCACCATTGTCCAGGCAATTGTGACACCTACTCCAAGTCCCCAATGTATCTGGTCTTGAGTTTGATTCATGACAAGCAAATGATTCCAACCATGAGGTCTGCTAAATGTTGTGCAGGAGTGGTCTCCTGAGTCTTAGCGCAGCTTGGTTTCATGATCCAGTTGGTATGAATAGATTTGGGTTATATGGCATGGTTTCTCTTCTGTTCTTATCTGGGTTTTAGCCTAAAAAAGAAAAGAAAGAAAGAAACAAATACCTCAAGAAATTAAATGGATCCTTTGTGTTGTCGTCTTTGCTACCATGCCTAAGAGTCTTGGCTTGTCTAGATCTGTTCTGTGAATCTAGTAAATCCAAGCCTTATCTCTGAGATATAAAAGACAAACAAATACCTCAAGAAACATAAATTAATAAAGGCAACCATTTTCTTAGGTCATGACTGTGATTTGGCTGAGTAATTATATGAACCCCTAAACATCCATATGTGGTTAAATAAATAATAAGTTACACTTCACCCAGCTTTTTTATTTTGGAACTGAAAGGTTTTGAAGCAGATGCACTATGTGATTGGTTTCTGTAGCACAATATTATTTACAGCAATGAAGCATCCTTATTATTATCCTGTTAGTTCTGATTTATAACTCTTTTAATTTGCATGTCCATTTCCTCTCTGTTCAAGGTTACCAAGAAGAAAGACATGACTGATTTCTACTTCAACCTTTCAAACAATGTTGCTTTTGGTGCCAAAACTGCTGAATCAAGAAATCCAGAGAAGCAAGAAGAAAAAGGGACTGCTGATATCTCAGAGAGAGTACTCCCAAAAACCAACTTGCCAACAAAAACTGCTGACTTAGCAAGGCAGAAAGAGCAGTATCATGCTGAGACGTCTCACTCTGAGAAGTTGGAATCTTCAGACAGGATACCAGAGACAGATACTATCCCAAAAGAAAATATTGTAGCTGAACAATCATTAGCTGATGAACCAAAACGGGACCATCATAAAAGAAGTGAAGATGCATTGGCTGCAGCTAAAGAGCGGTTTTTGGCGCGTAAGAGAGCAAAAGAACAATAAGTAAGATGCTATACCAGTCTCTTTCTTTTATCTGTTGTAGCATGTCATGAATGATATATTAAAAAGATATGAAAAAGATCTTCTTTGCTAACTTCTTGGTTGGGCTCTCAAAGTATGTTTTTTGTTTTTTTTTTCTCTGGATCTAGTTGTTAGAGATGTTTGGACACATTTTTCTTACCAAAATAATGATAATATTAATTGTTTGAGGCCAATATTGGGAAACCAGGTCAGGGTGTTATTTGTCGTCATAACAGTAAAGAATCCATTTTATTTTACAGAAAGGGCATACAAATCATCTTGGCCTTCGCTTTAGGTACTTGTTGGTTTGAGGTTCCTGCATTAATTGTCTCGGTTTCTTAACCCGTACCAAACCCGACCTGTTGACATCCCTACATGCCAATATAATATGATATTCTGGATACTGCACACAAAATAAAAAGGATACACAAAATTCATATATTCAGAAATCTGTTTGGTTCGCAGTCAGAATTGGAACTGGAGTCGAATTCATCAGAACCGGAATTGTATGTATCTAATGATGCAGCTTAGGCTGGATTAGCCCAAACCCAACCTGAAAAAAGGTTGGATTAGAGGTCAGGTTGGTTAATAGGGTTGGGGTCTTGGCCTCTTGGCAACCTGACCAAACTGAACCCAACATGTCTATTGTCTTCATGTTACCGTATAAATATCATAAAACGTATATGCATCAATAATTTTAGTTTAAACTTTAAAAGGTAATCTTTTTATCGTTACGTAAGTATGTACTCCTAAAGCATCAGAACTTTTTCCTCTTATAGTCTCATGTAATAAAGTTTAAGAGAAGTGGGAATATTAAAAAAAAAAAAAAAAGAGTGAAGAACTTGGGCTAACCCAAACCCAACCCAATCTAAAGTCATTGGGTTGGGGTTCAACGATGTGGGTTGGGTTAAGGTTGATACTAACCCGACTTGCACCCCTATATGGTCAATCATGTCCAGCCCATAGCTGGCCCAATTAACAGACTGCAAAAGCCACAAGACTTGGACCAGTCTTCACTGCTTTGAGAATCAAAAACCCAAGCAACAATAAGGGTAAACAAAACAGATGATGGGCTTTAGGCCCAACCTCGGACCAACGTTGGCGGACCCACAGGGAATCTCATTGGACCAACCTGATTCATGTGGGAGAAAGCAGTTACAACACTAATGGGAAAGCTTTATTATATGGTATTGATGGTGATGCGCATGATTTGATGATCTTACATCACATGTAGTTGAAGATCATGACAAGAGTTGGACCTCTAAGATACACGCTTTCATATAATATTAATGGAAAGAGGCTTAGATCATTGACAATGATTTTATTGACTTGGTCAAAGATTTGCAATCAATAGAGCGGGAGTGTAGATACACCTGATCAACACAATCTTATCTTCTGGATTACATCCATTCTTTAGAATTTCCCATTTCCATTAATTAAAGGGTCCATGTGGGTCACCTGGTACACCAGATCCTACAAGAAGAATGAGAATCCAGAGCTTGTTTCTATTTTATTTTACTCGATTTATATCTCGGCAAGGTGGTTTCTGTTTTTGTGAATTTATTGAAAGTCCAGAATCTGAATTGGATCCAAAAGCTAGATGGGCCAGAGTGAATGTGAGATTGGATGGACGGTGCCCGGCTGGTCCATGGGGTTGGCTGTGTGAATCGTTGGATACAGGTGGGCCCCACCTAAGGCGAGATGGGGAATCTGACGGTATTTATCCTGTCGAGAAGGTGGTGGGGCCCACGGGGAAGAAACCTTGGGAATATTTCCACGACATTCGGAGCTTATCCTGGTTAGAGAACGAATGTTTATTTTGATTTGGGAATTAAAAATTGTGATGGGAACGTGGACGTGCTGTGGAGCCGCGGAACACGGAGAGAGAGAGAGAGAGAATCATCTCTCCGTCAACCTTTGGCGGGCGTAAGGCGAGCGACACTGCATAGAAAAGTGGGTGGGGGTGGGGGTTCTTTTTTCGTGTTTGGTATACCGACAGTCTCGCTTGTTTTTTGCTTTGTTTTCTTCTGCTTTTTGTTTTTTGGCTTTTTGCTACCTAGGTTATTTCTTGTGTAAAACTTGAAATCATGGGCTTTGACCCGACCCTTCTTTCTCTCTCCACACTTTTTCAGAACATGGGGTTAGTGTAAATGTGTAATGGTTAAGACTCTGGTTCCGGAGCAGAAACCAGCATTTTACACAATCCCTTCTTGACATCTTACCTTCTGTGATTTAATTTGAAGCCTGAATCCATGAAATTACCATTCCGAAGTGAATTTTGACAGTGCCATTAACAGCTTTCATGTAAATCTATCTGAAACTGACTTGTTTTCTACATCTCTACCGCCTTGCTCGAGAAGGCCAAAAAAACAATACATTCTAATCGTCTCAGTCAAGCTTCCTTAATTTTATCAACAATGAGGACCAACCGTGCTTTCTCATTAATGAAGGCTGAACACCTTAATTGGAACCGACTTGTTTTCTACATCACTTGAGAAGTGAATTTTGACAGTGACATTAACAGCTTTCATGTAAATCTATCTGAAACTGACTTGTTTTCTACATCTCTACCGCCTTAATCGACAAGGCAAAAAAACAAAACATTCTAATCGTCAAAAGGTTTCTGTCTCTGTCCTCGTATTTTTAGTTTGTTGAATGGAATTTGCCGTTTAGGCTTCAAGAAAAAGATTCATTCAACACACTCCCATTTTGGAAGAATGACATCAGTTGGATATATAAATTGCTGATAGTTGGATATACTGCGAGGATTCGTTAGTATAAGCCATCAAATTTGACCTTCGCCATAACGTTTCATTCCCGGCCATGTATTTATCTAGAACCGGCTAAAGCTCAATTTGGTAGTCTACCCATCACTCAAAACCGGCAAATCTTGATTCGTCTGTATCCACTCTTGAGTCTTGACAATTCATCCACATGCACGAGAAAGGGAGAGGAGAGATTTTCTCATTTTCTACTAACAAAAAAGTTTCAAGTTCGATCACTAATTTCCACAAATCTTTCAGAAACAAATTAACAAGAATGACACGTAGAAATTTTCACATTGGGGAAATGTATATGTGAGAGTGTGTAGATGATGTATGTATAGATATGTAAAAAAGAGGAGGCCAAAAAGCATATACAATCCATCTTTTGTCACATGGCGACACCTGATTCGGGCACGTAGCTTAGTCTCTCAACCTCCCAGACCAACTTAGATGTAATCTCATCATACTCTGGAACATACTCCTGATACACAACAAGAGAAGAATAGAAGCCATTAGAAAACAATTAGTTAGTTAACTGGGTAAACGTATTAATTTCAAATACCCATCTCGTCAGACCTTCACAAGTCTTAACTTGAACCAATTCTAGTTTTCTTTTTTTTTTTATATATATATACTTAAAGAAATGGACTATTTTAGTATTCTCCCAAGTCAAACCATGCCTAGTTTCAAAGGGAATTAAGGGATAAGTTTTAACTTAAATATAATATAATATTCAAAGTGGAACAAGAAATTGTTTAAGGGTATCCATCCCTTTTTGATGAATTGTTTATACCTCAAGCTCCCTCACTAATTGCTTTGCAGTTGGAGCAGATATAATAATGCGTCGTGCAGATGGGGAAATAAAGCCTTCATCAACGGCCTTGTCTATGAAAGACAACAAGGAATTATAGTATCCATCCACATTCAAGAGACCCACCTGCAGAAATATGTATACTTTAGTTAAAAAATAATAATATAGAATTAGTCCTCAGATGATGCATAATATATTATTAATTATTACAGCCAAAAGCACGAGCAAACAGACTCCCTTTGACGGAGTTCTAATTGATTGCAATTTTCCAAACCATCTTCCCCATTCAACCATTCAAGATGGAAATACTCCCCAACACGGAAAGCAAATTAATAGACTCCATATTTTTTACATCCATGTCATCTCTTCTATGTGAAGAAATGCAACAGTTAGAACATGGTAATGGTGACAAATTCTGAGATCGATATCTGAAGGAAAAAACTTGTAGCCTTGCTTGTGAAAAATGGCTTTAGGCTTGTATATACATTGGCTGTTGAACAGTTTTGGCCCCATTCATGGTGAGTTTATTAATGGAGTGCACCACTGCATGATAAAGAAAGAAACTTATGTTGTGGTTTAGACCCATCTGAGTCAAAAATTGCAATTTGTCAAGAAAGAACCAGGAAAAACTCTCTAGTTATGTTTATTTTATCATATTAATGAATTTTACAAGAAAAGATGATAATGCGTCCATTTCCAAACCTAAGCCACTAAGGATGAAATGAAAATTGTTACCCCATGGCAGACAAGCATGGAAATGAAAGCCTTACTGGTTTTTTATGAATACCAAGCTGAGCCCAAGTGATGACTTCAAGCAGTTCTTCAAGGGTGCCATACCCGCCTGATATAAATGAAAAAACCAAAGAATCATAACATTGATGGTTAAACAAAGTACAGAGGTTTTATACCATTGAAATGGTAATCGAGACAATACCAGGTAGAGCAATGAATGCATCAGCTTGACGAGACATCTCAGCTTTTCGTTGATGCATATCAGATACAGCTCTCACTTCTCCAACAGTCTCACCAGTTATCTGCAATGCCACCCTATGTTATATAATTGCATGTCTAGGGAGCTCTTGAGTGTTTTCAAGCATTTAATTCTAACTAGGTTGGGTATCAATCTACTATAAACAGAGTGACCAGACTGTTCTTTTAAGGTCAAGCTCCCCAACTTTGGATCAAGCCATGTCCAGAAGAACCAAAACCTAGATTTCAGAAGCTCGACACCAAACATGATACACACTGCTGCATGCCTAATTTCTGAGGACATCAATATATATACAACATCCTTTTCAAACAAATATTCACATACAGCTCATGAATGAACTGTAAGACGAGTACAAATAAGGAAAGAGCAGATAAAGATGTTAAATACAGAAAGGAGGCCACTGTTACGAATAACGTAGAGACTCAACATCTCATGAATGTTGACAAGCTGCACCATATCTGAAACAGCTTACATTTAACCCTGGTACTCTAAAAAATCATCGTTTTCCCATGTTTGTCATCAGAAAGAATTTCAAGGAGGATTTGTTTAAACTTTAAAACTTTAAATGAAGCTTTCCAACTTACCTCTCTAGGCATTAGAGTCCTCGGAATAACACTGCAACAAAACCCATCAAAATGTAAGTCATCACCCAGACGCAGTAGCAAAATATCTTTAGCTTTTACACAAATAAAATAAAATGAAATTTAGAGTACCATTCTCTTACGTTATAATTAAAGATTCCAGAAAGCAAAAAAAAAAAAAGGTTCTATTCCTATAGAATACAACATTGTTTATATTTTTGTTTAGGAATAAAAAGCTTCAACAGTTCCACCGGAGCAGGTGGAAAGAAATCTTTGGAAAGTTCATGAGCTTTTTCCTGATCTATGTTTCAGTGTGTACTGACATTACCGACCGACACCAAATCGATTTCACTTTATCTGGTTGACGAAAATCTCAAAAGTTTGAAAAACAGGTGTCTGGTTCTTGGTTCTTACCGTAGACAAACGAAGAATGTACACGGCACTACGGCAGTAATAAAAAGGGCCGTAACACCATTTCATGAAAAGAAACCCTCATTGAAATGAAGCCTATTGGCAACTATGAACGAAGTTGCATGTCAATGCTTAAATAATAACTCAAATAGCGTGTCAAAAACAAGAACCCAATTTACAATATCAGACATAAAAATCATGCAAGAGACGGCACTAGTCTTCTGAAACTTCTTCAAAGGAGGAGAGAGAGAGAGCAAACCCTAGAACATGGCGCCCGCCATCATGAACAGCCTGAGAAACAAGACCCATCAGTCCCACGCTGCCACCTCCATATACCAAATCAATCCTTCTCTCCACCTTCAGAGTTCCAAAGCATCGAGAATGCAAATCCACGTAACAGGTGTCAGTCATAATAAAAGCATCAGAGACCAACATTATTACTAATTAAATAATACCGATGTTAAGCAACTGATACACTAATCATAACAAGGACTTTGGTCAAATTTAAAACCCCGGAAGCTGCCGAGTGATGCACTCTTCATGGAACCCATGAACAAAAAATCATGGAGTTTCGTCATGGGAAGAGGGTGTGGGGATTGTGGAGCTACCCAAGAGAGGACATGCTTAATGTGTCATGATACCAAGGTAGCACGTTTGCTCCCTAGGGGAAGCAGAAGAGATTTTTTTTTTTCCTTTTTTCCCACTTACAGAGAGAGAGAGAGAGAGAGAGAGAGAGAGATCATGCAAGAAGACTTCCTATTAGACAGGCAGGTTACAGCTAGCTAACTCTCATGCCAAAGATAAACTTAAAACCCCCGGAATTCACCAAAGAATCAAAGCCTGTTTGTTACAAAAACCACAAACACAGTAACATGACACCAAATGAGAAAGAGTTTCATCAGAAAACGAGAATAATAATGAATTTTTCAGAGCTTTGGAACTAAGATTTGTAAGTTGTAACATTGCAAAGAAGTTAACACAGAAGAAGACAGAGGATGGAGAAGAAAGCTTTGGATTTTGGATTTTAGATTGCATCCGTCAGAAGAAAATGACATCTGAAAATGCACCAAAAGAATCCGCCAAATATGGAAAGAATGCAGAGGTTCCTCTTGGTATAGAATACAAATCAAGATTCATAAAACCTATCCATTAATGGAACAAACTAAAATTGAAGAACTCAGAAATCTAACAACAGAATCGAATCACAGAAACCCCATAATTTCTTCTTGGACGAAAATGATACCAACCAAAAAAACACAGGAAAAGAAAGGCGGAAATGGGATCCCATCGAATCCAGAAATCATTAATGAAACAATAAAAACTGGTTTCATTGGGTGGTTTGAATTTTTCTAGCTGTGAAAGAGAAACACCAGTAAAAAACTGTTCCTGAAAGAATTTTTCAATAGTAAAAGCAGTGCTGACAAGAATAAAGGAGAACCCATTATTACCAGCTCCTTCCCCAACTCAACTGCAGCTTCTTGGTATCTTGCTTTCTTCCCTGAACTGCTCCCACAGAACACACAGATCCTCCTGAATCTCGACTTCCTCTCCTCCTCCATTCCTTCTCTCTCTCTCTCTCAGAGTAGTGCGTGTGTGTGTTCGTGTGAACCAACAATTTCTTCAAACAAAAGGAGGAAAAGGAACGGTGTATAGAGATGAACCGAAAACGAGCTCTATTTATTATACAAACAACCCCTCACCCCACCTCGTAGAAAGTCCCCTCTATTCTTAAATCTTACATCACGCCTAGCAAAAAAAAGAACTTCATTTTATTTATTCCTTTACATTATTTTATTTCTAAAAATGGAAAAGGAGTATAGGATTCTGCCAGGGGCCAAAAGCCAGGAGGAAAGGAAGGTCTTTCAGTTTTAGGAATATAGGATTATTCTCACTTGGTTGATGCATAATTAATTTGATTTTTTATTTTAATTTCTTCCTTTATATTGTTGGGTCCTTGCTTTTGTTTATTTGGCACGCTTCTCACGTGTGAACCTTCTCTTTACCCTCTCAATGTCAATGGTAGGTTAAGAGTTTTCTGATTTTCTGCAATTAAAATATGTATTAGACAACTGTATAGTGTATATACTATTTAAAAAAAATACTTGAAATAATAATTGTTCACAAATCACAAGGGTAATGAGGCAATTAATCTAAGGATACAATTGAATTATCTATTTAGCAACTTTCTTCTATTATTGTTTTCTTCCTTTGATGAGGAATGCTAACCATTAACAAACTGCATACTTTGTGGGCCCACAAAACACAATAGGACAAAACCAGATCAGGGGGTGTTTCCATTTGGACCACTAATTTATGGGCTACTTGATATCCAAGGGGGCCCATGTTGCTTTTGTTGCTTTGTGCCTGGTGGGCCCGTAAGGCTTCTGCTTTGCTTCTATCTCCAATGGCTTGTACTCTGTATGAGAGATACTGTACTTGGGTATTCTTGTTGATACAAGCCTCCAAAGTCCAAAGTGTTTTCATGTATGTGGTGATCGGACGTTCTAGGCTTCTGGCATTTGCTTTGGCACCGTCTTTGTCAGAATTGGTCTGACCACTTGGACCACAGACCACCGGCCAGAATGGATCTCGGAATGCTTGATTCTTAAAAGTTTATTTATTGATAGATATACAATATTATAGCATTTATTTGTTTTTAGCCCTATTGTAGATGCAAAATAGGTTCAAAAGTAACGTGAAAGTGTTTTTATGTTTTTAAATTCTTGAATGATTTAAGTGGTCGAACCGGATAATTTGCCGGTTTGACTTGTGATCCAGTGCCCAAAAGTAAATATCCAATCAGAATCTGATAAATTTGCTCGAAAGTCGAAACCCTTTCTTACAAAGATTAAAAAATGCTTTTTTCACAATAAAAAAGAAAGTAATTTCTTCTACTTTCTTACAAAGATTAATAAATTGGGCAAATTTATTCTTTTTCTTGTCCATGGGATGTCCAGTAATTATTCCTTTTGTTTTTAATTTCTACTTTCAATTTACATAGATTAAAATATTGGAATCTCGTTGAATAGCATCACGCAATTTGGAGGCCGCAAGGTTCAAATCTAGAGTCCATTTGGGAAAAGATGAATTGAATTACTTATTGATTTGCCTTTTAGTGGATAAAACAGTTGTGGGTATGGCAATCCAATGTTTTAAAAAAGATTCGGAATCGGAATCGTTCTGACTACCATTGATTGATCGTCTGTTTTGAATGGATGGTCCGTTTTGATAAAATAAAAATAAAAATAATAAAATAATAATTAAAATAAAAAATAGTTAAAAATTATTGAAGGGATCAAACAAGTTGATGATTCGATCACTCTAAGTCAATAATTCAACGGATTTTGGCCAAAAATTAGGTTTGGAGTAAAATAAAACCAGTTGCCTAAACAGCTCACGGGCCAAATGATCTGATCATTCGGATCAACAGTGATTCGAAAACATTGTGGTAATCAACCCAACACTAATATTCAATTCAGCCATTAAATAGTGTCTTATTCATTAAAACACAGAAAATTTTAATTTAGCTCAGCCACTATAACAATTATATGACTCCCAAGTCTCCATCTATATCTTTATACTAGGAATCCGAAAAATAGAGAGAGATAGAGAGAGAACAAACAAGATTAAGGTTAAAGTGGTAGGTGGCATAGAATGTTGAGAAGGACCGATCGAACACAAGGCAATTGAAGAGGGCCCTTGTTTCCCCACACGTAAAGGGAAGGCATCACTTTCACCGAATGAAATTAAAGAGATGTCGAGAGAGGCATAAAGGACCCACATAGAAGACTCATGTCTGGTTTTTGATAAAACTGAAGCCTGATATTTGAAAAGCAAAAGACCTCTACATATTTGATATCTAAAAACAGTAAATCTCAATCTCACTCCTGTTTTTATAGATGACAATATTAAAAAGGAAGGCATCTTAGTTATTATAAATACATTTGAAACATGTTTAATCATATTTTACGTATGGATCGCCTATTATCACTAAATCAAATCTATTATTACTTTAAAGTGTGATTTAAAGATTGACAGATATAAGATCCAAAGACATTAACCTTTCATAATTAACTTTCATAATTGATTAGGTTCAACAATGTGTTTCATATACTTGCATCATCGCAAATTTTTAACCCATGAACAAGGGCTTTTGCCAATGTAGACTTGGGGAGATACAAACGGCAAAGGGTATAAAAAACCCTTTGTTAGCCGCATTTGAGGAGAGTAGATCAACCGTGCACACCCTTGTGAACACTAAAGGGGGTATTCAACAACATATTTGATTTTGTCTTTGAAAACAAAGCAACTACTACATCAGTAAGTTTGGCAACATCTCAAATGTGAGTCCAAAACAATTGGATGAAATGATTCAAATCAAACTATTAAGACAGTTATCAGAATATTTATTTACTGCTCACTTGGGGGTAGACCTGTTCATGGGCCGGGCCGGGCCGGGCTCGGGTCAAGCTTTTAGTGTTCATTAACAGAAATATAATAGGCCCGAGCCCGAGCCCGGTCCTGATAAAAAGCCCGAAACCCGAGCCCGAAGTCCGACCTAATAAAAGAAAATAAAAATTTTCCCTATTCAAATAGACATTATCTATTTTAATTCAGATGTTTTTTTCTCCTATTTAAATGAACAATGGGCCTACAAGTGAATCAACAACCTTCTCAAATCAAAAAAATTATTCAAATGGACATCACATAGGGTTTTTACTTAGGTTTAACTATAGGTTGGGCCGGGCCGGGCTTGGGCCGGACTATTTTGACAAAGCCCGAGCCCGACTCGAATTTTATGCGGGCCGGGCTTTTTGGCCCAAAGTTAAGCCCGCGGGCCAAAAAAACCTGTTCAAGCCCGTCCGGAGGTCAGACCGGGCCGGGCAGGCCCGTGGGGCCACCCGGCCCATGAACAGGTCTATTTGGGGGTAATGGACAACATGGTTCATTTTGTTATTCAGAACTTATAAACCCCAACTATATTGTGAAACACCCCCTAAGTAAGCACTAAATAAATATTCTGATAATTGTGAAACTTGCTTTTGAATCAGTTGAAGGATAGGCTGGGGGTAATTTATGAGATAGGAATCAGAAAATTTATTGGGTGCTTTTATCAGCATACTCATCCAACTGTACCTGATTTAGACTCAAATCTCAGATGTTGCCAAACTTCTATAGTCTATGGTCAATAATAGCCATATATTTTCTTATTTTAAACAAAAGATGACCATGGAAAAGTGACTTTTTTTTTTCTTTGTTACCATGGAAAGGTAACAAAGTGGGTCAATCTCAATTGCTTCCACCTCAGTTTGCCACATGTCAAAATCATATAAAGCAAGATTCCAAGTCTTCATTATCTGAATATTAAGTTGTCTCAATTAATTAAAATATACTTATGGTTTTTTTTATAATATCGTTTCTAACTCACATAATTAATGCATTTCATCTCTCCCACAAAAAAGGAGCAATAATGGTTTGAATCTCAACTAACTTCATTAATTCAATAAATGGTCAATTGGGGATTTGGTTAGTTGCATTATACTTCTTAACTATAGAAGTAAAAAGGCATTTGATCCTCCTATTTCTTTATTTTTTTTCTCAAATCGATTATATATATTTATCTTCCCTAATCATCATTCTTCCTTTCATTGCAGCCTATTGATGGATGGCCATGAAAACAATTGGATCCACTTAAATTGCAAAGAAATAAAAATGGTGGTGTCACTCATTAGCCATTAGCTCAAAAGCTCAAAGGAATATTTATTTGAAAGTTGAAAGTTGAAACCACTAAAGAACATGCCTAATAGCTGTATTCAATATGTGAAGGGCTTGCTGATAGCATCATTTATCATTTAAGTCTTCTCCATGTCAAACATGGCTGTGGGTCTACCTAAAACATTTAGATTATTGGTAAATCATCCCCAAATGTGGCCGAAATTATATAGTGGGGTTGCCTAAAGAACATCAGAAGATAAACTCTATTCACTCAACTAATTTAGATACCTTTTCCTAGTCATGAGTTGCCCATTAGAACTGATACAGTTATAATGCATGGGTTTGTGAAGGTTGATCAAAAGATATCTCAAAATAGAGTCCGAGACCAACTTCCCTTGTAATTACCACAAACCAAAGAAGAAGAATGAAAGATCACTTGTTTCCCACTCACTAGCCTAACGTAACTTCTAATCCTTACTGGTGCAGTTCAGTCATCCACGATTCTTCTATCTTTAGACTTTAATTTATATGTTAACGTCTAAGTGGGCCTTAAGTGTTCAGCACCGTCTTATGTGTTGATTGGGTAGATAGATATTACTTGTTTTCTAGTCATTTACTAAAACACCATACCCTTTATGGCTTGCAATCAATTTACTTAATCAAACTTTTATTAAGAATGTCTTGTATTACATGACCATCTAAACTAAGTGAAAAATGTTTGAGGGCACGGCCCATTTTTTTTTTATTTCAAAAACACCCCTAACACTTCATATCAAGCTTTTGGAAAGATATATCATTTGATTTTTGAATTTACCAAATAATGGTTGGTTTCAACTTTCAGAGAACGAAGAAGAAGAAGAAGAAGAGAGAACGGTGACTTCTAAGGTTCTTTGTTTTCAATGCCATGTCTTCCTTCCCAAACATAAAATAAAGTTAACCATGACAGTTATTGCTTGCATATTATTAGGGGCAAAAATGACAT